TGTTTCCCGTTTTAATTTTCGGGATATTGGAAAATGGATCCGGGGCGCACAGCTCGAAAACGCTAGCTCTACACGCTGTGCCGTCGCCATCGCTCGGGAAATGGACATTAAAACTGATTTTTCGCCCAACTTCGATTGGACCTCCCTCTCCACAGATAACTTTTTTTTCCTTTCTTTTTCACTTCCTTTCTGCAAATCTCTATCGATGTATTTTTTTTTTTTTTGCTCGAATGGAAAGTAGTTTGAAATTATTATTTCTGTTTTTTCTACAAGTCACTTTTCTACACCAGACTAATTAAAAATCACATTCAGATCAAAAAGTTTCCAGACTTCTCGTTGCGGAAGCATTCATTGAATTACACTACTGAGTAATTAAAAATGATACATATTTACATCGAGAAATCAAGCAAAGACGAAGGAAATAACGTCATATTGGCGCCAGGCGCGGAGATATCGACGCCAGGCGTCGGGGGATGCGCTTTTGTCGAAGCACTCGAAAACGAGGAGTCGTTGGATCTTCTTTATGCAGCCGACCGGCCGATCCCAGCTGAAAGGACGACGGATGCCTGCTCGCGGTGCGGATTAAGCGCGGAGATCAAGTATTCTTGATAAAGCGAGCGGGTCAAGTGGCGCGGAGAACGACTAAATCGAGGGAAAACCCGCGACACCACACCTACTGGTGCTTCTCTACCTCGATCTGACACTGTGCTCTGGCTCCTCTGTCCCTGAATTCGCCCACCTTTCATCCGCCTTTTGTCACGCTGTTCGAAATTCGAGGAAAAAGTGGCTGATTTGGATTCTTATCCGAGATACGATATTCTCCTTTATTTTTCTTATGTAATTTTCATATCGTGTAAGAAATTATAGAATAACGAAGGTGGTTCAAGTTTGAAGTATTTTTCGTTGGTCTAAATATTGGGCAACGGTAGTCGAATTTATTATAAAATTGAATTGAATTATAATATACAAATATCTCCTTTAGCAACCACGAGCGAGAACCTGTGTAAAGTTTGCAATATCGATGAAAATAAATTTCATGTTTAATTTTAATCTTGGGAGTTACAGGCCACTGCAAGATTATTATACCAAAAAAAAATTCGTTGCAGCGTATGTTCTTCGATACCATTCAAATTGCATCTAAAATATTTTGTGTATAATCACAGGTGAAGGAGGTACATATTTAGGTGGCTCCGTTTAGATGAAACACCATGTACCTATACGTAGAAATAATACACGTACCTACACTGAAATAGCTAGATCAATTTCAAAAAGAAGAATACGATTCAATTTCTCCTGTAGCCTAAACTTCATGACCAAAGAACAAAAATATAGGTCAACAGAACGTATGAAATCTCTTCAACCCCACGAATCGTTGCCCAAATCATCTAAAAAAGCATCAAACACTCCCTAAAACCTTACACCCGCTAAAAAAGACCCGCCCAAAATATTTCAAGTCTCTCTGACAAAGAAGAATATACACTGTAAGAGTGTCCAGTAAGTAAGCATCGAAACCCTATGTCGAAAAGAATACAAAGAATTTTCCCGTTGGAGCAGGACAAACTTCATCGCGTTTTCTACGATGAATTGACCAAATCCGAAATCCATTAACCCCCTAAAGACTACGCTCCAGCGAGCAAGATGGCTCCCATCCTGTGTGCGAGATATTCCCACGCGCGTGAAAAGGTAAATTCGTCGGTCGTGAACGACGGTCTCCTTCAAAAACGGGAGCAACAGGAGCTAAACAACAGGGTTGGCCGTTTTTCCCGGTGTTTGCTGACCCCGTGGTCCTTTAGCCGCGTTGTTTGCTCGTGTGCCAGCGGGGCTCGAGGCTCGAGCACTCGAGGAAGCCATCTCGAAGGACTCGACTCGAGTCGAGTGTCTCATTTTTGTTTGCCGCCACGGGATTTTCCCGACAAAGGGCCTACCGCCACAGGGATTTACGATCTATCCGCTATACACTCTGAGTGGCTGTTCGCGCTAATTTTCCTGCTTTCCGCCAGGCTACCCTCGAAAATCGAGGGGAATATCGGGAGTCAACGAGAAATTCCAAGTTTTTGCAAGCACCTGGAATTGTTTTCTTGGGACTCTCGACGTAAATGGCGGTCAGTTGGTCTTTGTTTGATTAGATTCTGGGTATACACTTTGCCTTCCAGGCTTGGCGTGACTCGAAAGAAGTTGCTTGATGAAATTGTGGTGGATAGTGGAAAATAGTTTGGGCGATTTTGTGGTTCAGGTGAAGAATGGATTTTCTGGAAACCTGCATTGTTTATATTGTTCAGAGGGACCAATATGGAGGAACGATTTTATGAACCCTAACGAAGAACATTTAAATAGATGTCTAAAATTGATAGAAAGTTTCTTAGTGAAGTTGGTAAAGAATTCTATATTAAGAAATAATGTAAATTGAATATGTGTTAGTTCCATTGCATTTTAATTCGCATTAAAAGTTCTCAAATAAAAAGAAGATTGTAACATATACCAAGTAAACCGAGTTCTAAATACCGAATTTTCCACCCAAAAAAAAGGTTCAAAGAATCCCCGAAAAAGCCAAGATAAAGACCCCTTCGCCTCTAGATCACAAGGAAAACCGGTCGCCATCTCACGCTCCACATCCCCCAACGAAAAGGCATCCTCCCCTGTCTCATCGGAGGATCAGACTCTCGAAACTCTTCCCTGAAAGCTGGAAAGGGTTGAAGGAGCCTGCTGGACCAGCTGAACCCTTCATCCAGATATTGAAGAGTATTTTCTGGGCTCGTGCACAGTCTCTTCAGGGGCCAGAGGAAGCAGGTGAACCGTGGTTAACTCGTTGGTTACCTTTCGCCTGGTCTAACAGTTCCCTTCAACCTCATCCTCGGGGGCCCCAGAAAACATCCAAGATAAAAAGGAGCCATCATAACCAAAAAAGAGAGAGAAAGAGAGAAGAAATAGAGACGACGGTGGCGTACCGCGCGATACACACACGGTGTTCCAAACAACAAGAAGACGTAGAGAAGCAGAAGAAGCCGAGGAGGAAGACGAAGAGTAGGAGGAGGTGGTGGAGGAGGAAGAGAAAGGCTGCTGGTCGTAACAAAGGTCGGGCTGTGCCAGCCATTGACATCGTACTGGGCCCCGGCTGGAGGACTAGATTTCACGAGCCAGCGATGCAGGATCCTTCAAAGGACGCCGACACGGACTGCCGCAAAAAGGATTCGCAAAAAAGGAGAACGGTGCAGGGTCCGGGGGTTAACGGGGGGGGATACGGAGAGGGAGAGAGGACGTTGAAAGAACCAGGCTTCTTTGCTCGACGCACTGGCTTCCGCAGACCAGGCCCCCTTTTTCTCCTCCTCCTCTTCTTCTTCTTCTTCTGCGTCCTCTTCTTCTTCTTCTTCTTCTTCTTCTCACAGAGAAAACGCTCGGGAGACCGCTATGTAACCGGGGGCAGACGGCGGAGGGAGGCTAATAGAGAGAAGCGGACGGGCCACACTGGGGCCACCGGCGGAAACCAACTACTTGACGCCGAAATCCATCGCGATAACTTAATCCTGAGGGATTACGGGTGAAGGAATCGTCGTGGAAATCCTATTGCGATTATTGGCTAGTTTTTGCAGGGACGATGTGGAGAACGTGCGTTTTGATATTGTGGTCGATGGTGTGGGTGTTGCAGTGGGTGGTGTAAGAGGAAAGTTGTAAGACCACTATAGTAGAGAAGATTGTTTAAATTATATGGAGTTTATATCTTTAATAATATATCTTTAGAGACAGAGTAATTGGGTTTGAAATTAAACGATGTAAATTGGGTATTCGTGATGGAATATCTGATAGAAGCAGAGTGCCTGAAAAATGTCTGGATCATTTTTTGGACACGTATATGTCTGCTACACCTTAATGTATTTCAAATTAACTCGTAACTACAGACCACTTGTCTCAGAGCCAAGTCTGAATTTTTACTTCACTATCGCAACTTATTGTTCGTAGACAATTTTGGAAGCCCTAGAGTTTGGATAGATCCAATTACAGTAAATTCTCCACAAGTGTCAGTCCGCAAGGAATCTAAACCTGACACTTGTAGAGTCAGGGACTACGTTTTCGAGCCTCGCGTCCGCCTTTGTAGTTTGCCGAACGTAGACAAGGACAGCGAATAAAAGATAAGGATGAAACGTGAGTCGAGGCAACCAAGCGATTTAAATACCAACTTTTTTAATTTTACGTTTTTTTATCCCGAAATTTTTCTTAACATATTGATGAGATTTTTCTGATGAAAATGACATCAAACACGACATAATGTGAACAATATTTACTTATTAACACGTTCACTGTCACACCGTTACACACTTGACAGACAGCGAGCAAGATAACATAGGCGCAGCAATGACGCAGACCTAGGCGTAGGACCGTCTATACTGACACTTGTAGAATCCAAACTGACTGACACTTGTAGAGAATTTACTGTAACACTATTGTTCTTATAAAAATACTGTAAAAAAAATCTTCCCAAACAGATATATATCATGAAATAAAATAATTAGGTATGTTAGATTTATTTTTATAACACAGTGGTTCAATGAATAAAATTGCCAAGTAGTCTCAGAGACTGCACGTCTGCAGTGATGCCTGTACCTAAGAGTTAAATAAATTCATTTTTCGGAAAATAAATTGACATTCGTATTTCTTCAACTTCATCCACAACCTGTCTACAATTCTCCCTCTAAAAAGATCTTACTGTCAAATAAAACGGCTTCGAATCGGATGCAATTTTCCTATGTTCTATTTTAAACTGAAATAACATATTTGCAAGCGCTAGATTCTAAAGTAGATTGATCGAATGTACGCGAAACAGGGGTTCAATTCTGAGTCGTCATCGTCGTGGACGTAGAAGTGCCGCGTGCACGCGGCCTAACGAGCTTTTAATCGGCCGATCGTTAGGTCGTTAGCCGGGCAAAACGTTAGGCGATTAATTGCGAGACTCGGAGCTCCAACTTAGTGGCTAGTAAGTAAGTAATTGTTTGGTTGGCGTTACGTACAGTACTTACAAAGCCGTGCTTGTCGCTGATGTTGTTAGTGAGCTTGAGCTTGTGGAAGCTCACGACCTTCTGCATCCATTGCTCACCGCTGCTCGGTGAATCCGGATGAATGTACATCCTCTTCGGCATCTCCGGGTCGGCCTTCCCCGCTACCATCCACCTGCTGCTCCAGAAAATATGAGAATGACAATTAAATACTCCTCAGATATTCTAATTTTCTTTAATTCTCTACACGTACATTAAAGTGCCAAGAATTCTTCCCTTAAATCGTCAAAGGATTAAGAATTCTCCGCTTATATATTCGATACTCTCTCAACGTTTTCACCAAAAATTAAATGCAATATTCAAACAGAAAATTTTGTAAATTCAACGTAGAGACATCTAAGCCAAAGTGATAAAAATTCTTGAACTGATATCGAACAGGCATTCTCCCAATAATTTTTCAAAATCTTGAGACAAGTCACTCTAATTTCCATCTCCATTTCATTTTCCATGTTGAAATTTTGAATCCTCCAAATTCCATAGATCGCTAAATCTTCTTTTCCTAACTTAACCCAACCATAGAAAAATGTCCTCCCACGGATCTGACGAAAAAGAAATCGCCAATCAACGTCCATTTCGAGTTATCAGAGAAAGGTGTCGAGGAGGATGAACGATTTCACGACCACCAGACGATTCAGCCTAAGCATCGGCTACCGCTCCGCGATTGTTGTCTTTTAAGGGAGGCGTGTCTAAACTGTTCGCAAGTCGTATCGTCGCAGGTGGGTCAAAACGAGTGAACGAAGAAGAAGAACTCGTTCGACGAGTTCCAAAGTGGCTGCGGTCGACGTCGTGATGTAATCGTTCATTGTGGTCTGCCTTTCGATTGGCTCATCCTCTAACTACATATATCCTCGCGACATAGGAAGAACTATACAAGGTACACAAGAACTCTGCGACATCACTAGCTTCAAATTATTGTTCTAAGATTATATTTCTGAATATTTGAAACTTTAATCGTGGGGATTTTTGAAAGGAAAAGATTGGTATTCTTCGAACAACTTAAAAAGAATATCAGTGTGAGACCTTTTGCGTTATACTTGTGTATATTTCTATAATCGAGTAGCATTGTTTTTGCAAAACAAGAGTTTAATTTGCCCTGTCTGGGAGAGTATTTAGCATACCTATAGTTTCATTTCACAGCAAAGTATTATAGCTAGGTGAAAAAGCGATGATTTTGACTCTTCAAAAATTTTCTGCAAGCTGAATCTAAATTCATGGGGAAAAATTGAACACTGACAGAATGGCAGCGTTTCAAACTTGGAAACACATTTTCACTGTTCCACGAAGAATACTCATTTCTAAAATTCTTTTCTTTGCGCTACTTTCTACCCCATTTTCTAGGATTTCCATGAACAGAAGTCGGAACAACCGTTGAATAGTCTAATTGTCTAAGAGACAATCGTCTGAAACGCAGGAAATAAGAGTGTATAAACGATTTCGTCAGGATAAAAAAAGAAGATGAGTAGAGTCCCGTTTCATTCATACTGTGGGAACTCACGAGTCGATCGCCATTTACGCGGCCTCGAGTCTCGATCGTCGACGCGTTTTTCGCGAAGTCGGTCGCCGGATTTCCCGGCTACTTTCCCGACAGCCCGATTATGTTCCGTTTAGCACCCTCGCCATGTGGAAAAACGCTAAACGAAGGAACGACGATTGTACTGGCTCGTGAGAACGCGCGTTTACGCATTTGGGCGTTCTGAGAAGTGGTTAATTACTGGCTAATTACTGTTAGAAGGTTGCATCCGTGTCAACTTGGAAAAAAATTAAACACAAGAACTTAACGTTGGAGTGAGTACAAAATATTATTCTTAAGATACTTCCTCGACAATTGAGAAAAATTGAAATTCTACATAAAAGATGTGAAAATGGATAGATAAAAGATTGAAAAAAATTGAAATTCTAGATCAAAGATGTGAAAATTGGAGGCTGTGGAAAATATTGCAGTTAATTTTCTGTTTCTTTACAAAACGTAGAAAAAATTGTAGACGGAAAATGTAATATTGAAGAATATGCAAAATATTGCCTTAATTTTTTCCAAATTTCCAAGGGAGATTTAAAGAAATTTAAAGGATCTGACAGAAACGTGAAAGTCTCGATTTCTTTAATTATTAATAATTTGCGAAACTCGGAAAAAATTGCAGACTAAAAATTTAATATTGAGGAATATGTAGGATACTGTTATTTTTCTCAAATTACCCGGGGCAATTTAAAAAATCTGAAAGAAACCTGAAAGTATGGAAATTGACAGAATGACTTTTAAAAAAATCCATAATTATGACACTCCATAAAGTTCGCCGGTAAAAATTGTATAAATTCGCGTGAACAAAATGGCGATAATAATGATAAATGTGTTGTTTCTTTTTAAAAAAAAATAACAAGTTGGATGTTGATGGGCCCCGACTTTGAAGGAATTATGATGTCGACGCGTGTCCACGGGAGAAAGCGTCGAGTTAAGTTATAAATCGGGTATCGGAACGATTATAATGTGCACCGGGCATAATTTCAGCCTCGTTATTTTCGGGTGGCGCACAATTTTCGCCCCGAGGGTAGAGGATCCACGCGAATTCCAGACGAAAGTGTCGCCGTGTAATCGAACTCTTGAAACGTGATAATTTCCAAGGTGTAAATCTTTTTCCGGAGAAAGTGGCGACTGAAAATTGCAGGCTGCTACTCTGCCGGCCGACGATGATGCGCCGTTTTGCAACGCGTTATTTAGGGGCATAAAATTCTCGCCGCATAAATTGGAACGATCTTCGAGGTATGATTCAGAATTACGAAAATAAGCGAGGAGAGGAAAGAAAATGAAAGACACGCTTATGGTTCGCTTAATATCGAATTAAAGCGGCATCGAGTTAATTGACGAATAAAAAAATGACGAAAAGTACAATATAATTCGACGTTATAAAAATCAAAATCTGAGAAAAAATTGAATTGAAAAGAAAATAGAACTGTGAACGAAAAATGAATAAAGCCCGAAGAAAGATATCGATTATAAAAATGGAATAATGGCCAACAGAGTTCGAAAGAAATAAAAGTTCCTTTTTAATCAACCTGTTAATTAGCCATCGAGGAAGAAAAATAGGTGAGAGGAGAGAGAGTATCGGGCAGGAAGTGGCAGCGTACAAGTAATCGGGTAATTGCATTAATTTCCGCGTTCGCGGTCGTCACGAAAGCATTGACGCAACAGCCTGGCCGCTTGGGTTCGTGAGGAACTGGCTGGATTCGAGGAACTATTCGGCTCGTTAGCGCTGCCTGCCCGTGACAATTAGACTTTTACGAGTTTCACCAGGCCCTTACCTGTTGTGGAACTTGTATCGGTAGTCGTCCGCCGCGACGATGTCCAGCAGGAGGATGTACTTGGCCTTTGCGTCCAGCCCGGAAACTCGGAACTTCATCTGAGGGAACATCTGCCTGGAACACGCAGAAATCAAATGCATACACTTCGATTGCGCTATATATTTACAACAAACCATATTATTTTTACATCTACAATACTTGACCGCTTCAGAGGCCTCTTATTATAATTTTAAAATTACTAAGAAATGACCCAATTTTTTATGTAGGCACTTATATTTAAAATCGATAGTCTTTGGGTTTTCCTCGACCCACTGCCTTGTTATTTTTTTTAAATAACCTTTGCTGTTATTAAGTTTATGTTTCCTTAACATTATGTTAAAAGTTTATTCTCTAGATTTATATGGCGTGCTGGTAACAAAAATTGTTACACATTCGGTCTTTTTTTACCCAAAAATTTTAAATACGTAGTAGAACGGAAAAACGCAGTAGGGTTAAACTGATTTTTTGTTAAAAGATTATGAATAACGAATATTAGCTATAACAAATACTGGAATTTTCGAAAAGCCTGAACGTATACATACGTGTCAGTGTCTCTGATGAGGTTGAAAAAGATCAACTGCATCCTAAAATTGAGGTCCAAAAATTTGTGGTATCGAATATTAAAATTATACCCTAACTACATCTGCTTAACCCTTTGAAGACCAGTAGGATGTAGGTATATATCCCACTTGAGCACTCTTCAACAAAAGTGATTTCCATTCGGTGTAAATTACATTGAAAAGAAGATAGGTACAACTGTGACGAAAAATTAATAAAGTTCGAAGAAAGATAGAAATTCAAAATACAGCAAAATCTCCACTAAATTTCTGAAAAAATTCGTTACAGACACGATGATCGGTAAGTAAATAACAAATTCCTAAAAAAAATAATGCGGTGACGAAGGGGTTAAAGGAGGATCAACTGTAATTGGTCGTTGATCAGTGAAAGCATCGAACGGTGTCCGAAAACGCGGTGACACTGTCAGAAAGCAGACGATGCAGCGTGGAATCTGGAAAGGTCGGGATAGAAACGTGCACGAGTCAATCGTGGCCGCTGTCAGGCAGCCAGCAGAGTCGCGTTCCCTCGCGGCAAAAAGTCGATCTTGTCGCGAGGAGGGCATCAGCACGCGGCCAGTTAGGGAGGAACTCGGTGCACGCCGTGGAATTATCATCTCGCGGAAAGAAAGGGCGCCTTCTGTCGCGCGAGCGCGTCAGAAAACGCCTGCCAAGGCATTTCGTGGCCCCTTACGTGTTTTCACTTTTTCTATGCAACGAACGAACCGTG